CGGATTTAACGCCATTCACCACAACTCTCCATTTCCCCCAAAGTTACTCACCTGAATACAAGGATGAGCAACCCTACAGCAGAGGTTCTTATACTTCTACATTATTCTCACATTTTAAGACTTAATTTCTTTTTCCTTTGAAAGTGATCATTCTAGGTCAGAGGCTGAGAGCATGCTAGTAAGTTCCCTGGCTTCTAGTCTCCATTTTATCTTAAACTAGCTTCATTCTCTGAATACTGATCGGATGAAAGCAATAGCTCTATCGGAAGCTCACCACAATGTTATTTCCAACAGTGATGCTTTTCCTCCCATCTCCATTTCAGATGGGAATAAAAATATTAGATGAAAAAGTCAAGAGGATACTACTTAGTACTCTCATAACATCACAAGGAATGGAATGAGAGGCAGCAAAAAACTATTTTAAATGTTAATCTAATGCAAGACACAGATCAGTCCAGGATAAGAATTATGATACAATTTAAAGTTATACTTTAATTTTTCCATAGACAAAACTACTGATTCCATACCTGTATGGTTGTACTTCCCTCCCTTCCATTCCAGATTCCAGTGCTTTTTTCACTACTAGTTCATTTTCTTCTGGGTAAACTGAACAAGTGCAGTAAACAATAGCTTGTACTTTGTTAACTACAAAACAAACAAACAAAAATTTTCCACTGTTCAAATTCTTCATACACACAGTGGTTTAGAGAGGACTGAAAGCATTATGAAAATTATGCTTTGATGTCACTTTTACCAATAAAATATAGCCTCCTGCACACATTAGTATTCAATCTCTAGTGTTTTTTAATAATTAAAATCGTTTTAAGTATTTGCAGATTTCAGCACAAATACAAAGCTGCATCCCGTCTTTTCACACAGCTACCAAAGGAGGGAGGAAGAAAGTGGCAGCGTGAAGATGAAGTCAGACTACATTTACAACTTTTCCAAAGCAGAGTATGACTAAGCCAGTAAGCCAGTTCTCTACAACAGGCTGAAGATTATTGTATTAACGGCTGGTGAACGCTAGGACACAGAAACACCTTCAAACTTGGAGATCATTATTTAGGGGTTTTGGTTACACACTTACTGTTAACTAGTAGAGTAATCAGAGTATTTTTATCTATATAAAAACACGTGATAGTACAATGGAATTGACAGTACAAGGTTGTCCCAGAAATTGGAGAGCTAGCACACTTACATTTCATTGCATGCATCAACTCTTTAAGCTGCCGCTCAGCAAGAATTCTAAGTTTATCCTCAGATACAGATCCTTGGAAAAGGTCTCTTAGCAATCCTGCATCTAAATGCAGAGAGTTGTAAATTTATTATTGCAACTTGTATTAGTGTCTTAAATTCAGTTGTTTGCAGAATACGCTCTGGTAACAGACTTGATTATTACTAGAGCAGTAAGAAGGTAGGTTTTACAAATTACAATACCAAGGAGTGCCTAAATAATTCTTCTTTCCCTCTTTAGCTGTATTAACTAGTGCCTTTTATTTGCCTCTATTTAATGAAAATTGTACAGTGAATAGACTTGTACAAACAGTCAATGAAGGAATGTAATCAATGGAAAATTATATACACGTTGGTATCTTGAAATAAATTTTCTGCCTATGGTCTTTTTACTTTAAAGGAAAGGCTATATACACTCTGCTCCCCAGAATAACCCTCAAACTTCGTATTATTGACTTGAAGCAGACACACAGAATTATGCGAGTTATTTAATATATATGTTTTCTAGTAGTTCAAATATGGAAAGGTGGGGGTTTTTTTAATAAAATAATACCATTTACTGAAGCAGCTACCATGTCCAGACCACAATCACAGAATCACAGAACAGTCTGGGTTGGAAGGGACCTTCAAAGGTCATCTAGTCCAACCTCCCTACAGCGAGCATGATACTTGAATACTACTTCTACCAGAAAGCATGAGTTAGCTATTGTATCAAAGGTTACCTCCATGTTCATTTAAAATAAAGTCTATTGGATTGCCAACACCCAGCCCAGAACATTGTGGTAGCAGCAAAATAACTTTTGCCTTTTGAAGTCTCAGGTCTGTTGGTCCAATCTCAGTAAAGTCTTCATGTAATAACTGAATATCTGGAAAAAAGGGAAAAACTCAACAGTTCTACATGCAAGCAAGCCTGCCTAATTTTAATGTAATAAAGGCAAAGAGGCAGTGGTGTTACACAGACTTCCACAGAGCTAGAGCCTGCTAGACCCCGATCCTCCTAAGTATGCCTTACTGATTTCAGACTGAAGGACTATCTAGACATTAGCATCTTCCACTGAAAAGACTGCTAATGGGGTTCCAGAGTCTTGTTGCATTCTGTTCTGATCATGTCCTCTGGGTAAACTGGACAAGTGCATGGGTTTTGGATTAACATTCTCAAACAGCTGAAAAATCAGACTGAAAGCAACAGCCAAGGCACCAAACAAATGGACCCAAAAGTTCCTAGCTACACCAACTGCTATACCATAACTACTTATATAGAAAAATTTGCCCTGACATTTCAGAAGGTGCATCTATGACATGGTTAACCTGCAACCTTGATTAACTGGACTGTAGCTGAAGAGCTGTCAGTGCTGACAAGTTTTTATGGCCCTCCCCAACTCCTCAAACAAGGGATCTCTGAGTTCTAATAGAATTATGCCATGTTTATACATACACAAACATCTCTATTACAATACCAACTGTTTCAACACCTACTTTTACATCCCATGTGACTGAACAAGTTCCTCAGTTCTGCTGCTTTTGCTGAAGATTTCACACCACAAACAAAAATTCTGGACATGCTGTGATTTGTCAGCACTGACATATGGGCAATGGTTAGATGAGAACCCACGTGAGCCACTATAATGTCGTCACCCGTAGTCAACAGTGCCTGTGCAGAGTGTACAGCAAGACTGCGAGACTTATCCTAGAAAGTAATGACACAAAACTTAAGTATGACCAACTAATTTGGTTTCTATGAATGCCAATCTTTTCCAAATTAGTAAAGTATTTCATTGTTTTCATGACAAATGGGAAAGAAGAGAAGAGAAGAGAAGAGAAGAGAAGAGAAGAGAAGAGAAAAACTAATCAGGGATAGCTGCTGACACAGAATTAAATATTAAGTACAATACCAAACATCTTATTAAGTCACTCACTACATTAAAATTCATTCTAACCAATGCGTAAGAAAGCATAACATCTACAGGTGAAAAGAATGTAAATGCGTATCACCCCAAAAGGACTAACTCTTAGCAACAGCCAGTTCCAGAGAAGATAAAGGTAGGCCACAATATGCAGAATACCTCCTCAGACGCAGCTTAACAGGGAAACGCAAAGCTATTCACATAGCTCTTGACAACAATTATAGGAGAAACAAAGCCCTTACAGATCAAAGACGAAGATTTTTGCTGAAATTTGAACAACACAGAAGCAGATTTGAATGCAGAAAGCACAGGGACCTCTCAACAAGAGGAAATGATCTCATACTACAGGTGATGAAGAAAAAAAGAGATACATATCAAACATTATCTCCATCAAATTACTTTAAAAGGCAAAGAGTGAAGATATGGACCACAGGTATCATGTTTTGCACCAGACTTGGCAAATGCTGATGATAAAGGGGAGGTGTGGGGGGGAAGCGTTACAGCTTTAAATTCACATCGATGTCTACGTATCCGCTTAGGGCATTCAAGTACCACCCTACCCCACCAAAGAGAGATGGAGTTTTGAAGGTTCTGTTTCCTCACTTTGAATATTCTTAAGCAGTAATACTGAGAATTTGTCCCCATGACCTATAGGGCTCTCATGTATACTTCTTTTCTGTAAGTCTTCTATTCAAAATATATACACTGAAATGGAATACTGAATTACTTTACTTTGTAAGTTGGGTAATAAATTCCGAGGCTAAAATTTCCAGAAAATGTTAAGTATCAAGTGAAAATGCCCTTTGAAATGTTTCTGCTAAGCTCTCAATAATCATCAGACACTTCAGGTAATTTCTGGTTGTGTATTGTTGCACAGTTACTCCAAACTACTGCTTTACAACAGGAACTTCTGACCAGTCTTGCCTGGAGAGGCTAATGATGGCAAGTCAGGAATAAGACCAGTGGGGTTTATGGAGATTTAGGAGCCACACTGCACAAAATACAAAGAAGCGCCACCATTCCATCACAAACATGCAGTTAAAGAGGAGGAGATATTACAATAGTAGCATGCCATTTTCTACTAACATATAGAGTTGCATAGAAACTTCCTTCACATTTTCAGAAGTGAGACTGCTTTGAGGCTTATTTCAACAGTTTTAAGATTAAATTTAAAACATTCTAACTTAATTGTAGCTATCCATTATAAGCATTAACATTTGCATGCTAAATATTTTAAGTGAAGCATTTTCTAGCCTTCTGATTATTAAAAACATCCAAAACCTTGTGAGAGTATGTTGCTGCCTGACTCATTTAATAGGACAGTCACACAATACATGACCTCATTCTAATGCAAAGCGTTATTTTAGTTTGCAGATCATGTTGCTCAAGGATGACATCAACTCACCTGCAGTAAGAGTTTGCAATGTGCAAAAAGATCTAAATTAAGCAGTTCTTCTTTAAGAGAGGAAGGAAAAACCAATACATCATGGCAATGTTGGTCCACACAGTACGTATAATGGTCAAAGTCTGACACAGTTTCAACTTTTGTGAATCCCTTCTTCTTCAAATCTCTGAAGACATCTTGAAGGCTGTTAACATACAACTCTGACTATTAAATATACAAGTTACTTAAACAGTCACATTGATTATATGGATTTTCTAATAGAAAATTTCTTGTAATAAAATAAAAATACACTTTTAAAAATCCTTCTAAGTTTACACTATCCTTACAGAATAAACACCAGTTTTAAGTATTGTTATCTGTCTTAACACGCTTTGCCAATGTTATGGCTTACAGTAATACAAACACTTTTTTAGAAGTTTTCTCTCTATTTTTTGTTACAGAGTTTACTCACCCATGTAGTTTTTTTGTAACTTTTTTCCCCCTTTATTTAGCAAAAGACCCACACAAGCAACAGAATAGTAAGAAAAACTGTTTCACAATGTTGTTATGGTTTATGAATACCGTTACTGCAATATTATAAAAACGACAAACAAACATAAGGCAATGTTGCTGGGCTAAGCAGAATTTACTATAAGAAACTTAAATTATTGTTAATAATATAACCTGGAAATTCTAAAACAAGTCTGTAGCAAACTGTATCACTTCATATGTAATAATATCAATATTGTATGATACTTTAAAGACCTTACCTGGTTTTAAGTGTGTTTATCCAAACCCATAAAGGTAAAGCAGAAGCCCTTTGTTCCTGCTTCCGTATGGCTTCTGGTAGAATGTATTCAATTGAAGGAGCATCATGTTTGATGCGACATCTTGCTAATGCAGCTGCCAATTTGGTCCTAAAACTACAAAAACATAATCACAAGTTTAATAAGTTTTGTAAATGTTTATAAGTGTTTACACCAGCTGTTAACATGCAGTATCTCTGTTATAATACTATCTTGCTCAGAAACCAAAACCAAAAGTGAGGTCTCATTTTGCAGAAAATACACAGTTATAGGACATTTTCTACCCCAGACAGCAGCGGATGCAAGGCAGTAGTACATAGCTAAAACTGTTTTACTTAAACGCACATGGGACTGGAATTATGACAAATGACTCCCAAATATATCCATTTTCTCAGACAGCTGAAAAAAAAATGTTTTGGAACTGCAATCTGTGGAATACAATCATCAGATTTTTTGTCTGTTTGAACATATAAATACATATATGTGCAGAATGAGCATTTGATGAAAGCTGACCTCTGAATGTGTACAGAATCAACACAAGTATGAGGGCAACCAGTTTTATTACTGTTACAAGAAAATCTCAGAGGAAATATGCCCAGTCTTCCCACAAGCTTTATGCATAATCTTGATACGTGATAATTCAAAGCAAATAAAAATTGCTGGTGAGCTACTTCAGATGTCAAGGTATATTACTTACTGCCCTGCAGGAATACCTTGCATTTATGATATTCATGAACTTTTTGGGCTATTCTAAATCCAGCAGCAATACAATTTTGTCCAACAAATGCCTGTTGCGTTCATCAACAGACTGACAAAAGAAATACTTGAACACTACTTAAAATGTTTACTTTACATATCCTTTTTTTGTTCTAATTACTTAAAATAATAAATATTTAACAAAGTTTCACAATAGCAGTATTGCTAAATAAATCAACATTATTCCAATCCATGACCTCTTGACTCTATTACACTCATGTTTATGTTTACTGAGTATTTAATTTCTTTTCTAAAAATTGTATGAAAAAAGTTTCAACAACTACAAAATAAGATACCTTTTTTTAGCAAAATAATCCACAATATAAAGATGGTTTGTTAGCTGTACCTTTCTTAACTATAGGAATATGAAAGTTTCACAGAATCACAGAATCACTAGGT